CTACCATTATGACATCATTAACTGATATATGATATATTGTATTCCCCCACAGTACTACCATTATGACATCATTAACTGATATATGATATATTGTATTCCCCCACAGTACTACCATTATGACATCATTAACTGACATAATATGATATATTGTATTCCCCACAGTACTACCATTATGATATCAGTAACTAAAGTAGCATGACATACTGTTTTACCCCACAGTACTACCCCAACAACGTAATTAACTGATATATGATATATAAAAAATATTGTATTTCCCACAGTACTACCATTATGACATGATTAACTGACGTATGAAATAAATTACCCACAATACTACCACTATGATATCAGTAACCAAAGTAGCATGACATAATGTTTTACCCCACAGTACAGTACTGCCACTATGATATCACTAACTAGCGTAGTATGACATAATGTACCCCCCTCCCCGCAATATTACCACTATGACATCATTAACTGATGTATGACATATTCAATCCCCCCCCCCCACATACACACAGTACTGCCACTTTGACGGAGAATGGGGCTACTTGTCATCGACCGACTGTGACGATGATATGTCCTCCTTGTACCCCAACAACTTTACCTACAGCTACGAATACGACACGGATCTTTCCAGCCATTATCTCACTTTGGAGAAAGTGTCAACCCTTCTCAAGATCGTCTCCGTTATCGTCGTCCTAGCCGCCCTGGTCACGTGGGTTGTGGTGTGGGTCAAGCGACGTCACATCTCGCCCTACAGGTTACTGCCCACTGATTAATTGACTAATTAATTGATTAATTAATTGATTAATTGTTTTATTTAAATTAATATGAAGGGCTCCATACCAAAAACACATTATATCCATTTATTTTCGTTTACTACAAAACGGAAAAGCAGCTGAAATGTCTATTTTCAAAAATGTTTTCTCTAAAAATAAAACCAAGAACCAATAAATGTAATTTTATCATACTAAATATTGAGGGATGCAGTATTTTTCTAGTAAAAAGAAAGATATTCTCACTATAACTCTCAACATTAGGTTAAGGTTTTGGGACACCTGAATTGACATAAAAGTCTTGAACATATTCTAGCTCTCACTGACAAAATAGAAGGCAAGCGAGGCAGGGGTAGACCCAGAGCAACCTACTAAAGGTTCCTAAACACATTGGGAACGTGGTAAGAGCAGGGAATCGCAGCTTTTTGAAGACCATTCGAGCAAACGAATGAATAGAGAACCATGATCGCCGATGTCTGTCGCATTGGATGATGATGATGATGATGATGATGATGATGATGAGGTTAAAAAGTGGAAGGGGTTTTTCTGGAAATGCTCAGATCTGGCACATGGAGCGTTTTGTTACGGGACTCTTCCTGTGTTTTGTCAGTTGTTATAATTGACGAAATGTGTTGCGATATTTATTTGATATTATAGTTGTTACCGATAGAAATTATCTGTATTATGTATTATTGTTTCGCGGTATTTTCATTTCCAACAGGATGATATTAAAAGAAGCGAGGAGGGGGGGGGGGGTAACCTTATAATAACCGGATGTCGAAATGCTCAGGAGAATATACCGCGACGGGGACAAGGCGAAAAAGAATAAATGTGAGGCAGCGTGGTGCAATCAGGCTCTCGTCAATTTTTGGTCATGTAGAGTTATTGGTATCATCTTAAAGCTTTTTCACTTGTCTTTATTTGGATGAAAAAAATGTCCATTTATCTTGATTACAAGTCGACATGTTTGCGAATGAAGGAGGTGGGGGTCACCTGTTTTCAGAGGTAAAATTATGAGAAAATGGCTGCCAAAGATTAGTTATTTCATTAGCTTAAGAGTCCATGGTAACAGAAAATTTCCATTGTGTGCCTTTAATCAAAGTTTTTCAGAAAAATCCACACAGAATTGAGTTCTTTGATGGGCATGATAGGTGTTGAGCCAAAAAAACAAAATTTGATAAAAATTCACAAACCTGTGGAAAAATTCAAGTTTCTTCACTTTGATTATTTTGACGAGAGCCTGATTCCACCACGCTGCCTCACAAATATATTATTTAGATATAAGGAGGCCGTGTTATAAGGGGTGCCCATTATGGATGGGATCCGCGGATCGGGCCGATCACCCGACATCGATTGCCTAAAAAACAGACGTGTTTGTTTTCAGTTTCAGGCAACCTAGTCGGGCAATCGGTCCGATCCAGTCGTAATGGGCACCCCGTATTAGTCTGCATGATGTCACTTAGACAAAAACTCGCGAAATCTGAAACGTACCCAGAAAGTTGCCTCTATCAACATTTCAGGAGAGTTGGTCGCCATTTTGTGCTGACCAAAATATTTTCTTTATCCGAAACCACCCTCCCTCTGAAAAAAGACATGAGTGTGTATGTTTATACATAGAGAGAGAGAGAGAGAGAGAGAGAGAGAGAGAGAGAGAGAGAGGGGGGGGAGGGATAGAGAGACAGAGAGACAGAGAGACAGACAGAGAGAGAGAGACAGAGAGACAGAGAGACAGACAGAGAGAGAGAGACAGAGAGAGAGACAGAGAGAGACGGAGAGACGGAGAGACAGAGAGACACAGAGAGAGAGAGAGAGAGAGAGAGAGAGAGAGAGAGAGAGAGAGAGAGAGAGAGAGAGAGAGGGAGAGAGAGAGAAAGACATTAGAATAAAAATAAAATAAAATGAAATAAAACAAAATAAAGTACCGAAATAATTCAAATAAATCCGCCCCCCCCCCTCCTTTCCAGGTACGCCAGTTTCGTGGTGATCTTCGCCGCAGCGCTCCTGTTCCAGACGATGCAAATGTCCTTCAACATCTACCACCACTCCATAGGCAGCTACTACAACGACATCGCCTCCTGCCTCTTCTTCGAGATATTCCCCAGCGTCCTACAGCTGCTCATCACCTGTTGTCTGTTGGCCTACCTGCTGTTCTGTGTGGTCGTGGCTCTGCGCCACTCGGTCCCCTGCAAGAACATTCTGATCGGGATCCTTTGCGCCGTGGGCTTCTCTCTCCTCTGGTCCGTCATCTACATCATTGTCCTCTTCGCGACAAGCGGCAATGATTGTATATACGCGGTGTACAGAACACACCTCCACTTCGTCATCGCTGTCCCGAAAATCCTCGTCCTTGTCCTCCTCATCGTCTTGGACATCGTCATCATCGTCTCCTCCTTCTTCCTGGACAACGAGAGATACAAGGAGAGTCGCGACTACCGGCTTATCCGGTACAGCAGCCTCACCGTGCTGTTGTCTACCTTGTACATCGCTGCCCAGGAGGTGATGTTGCTGCTGTTCCGGACAGTGCCACACCATCTTAATGAGCCGCGCTCCTTGGCGTTCATCACCGCCTACAGAGTCCTCTACGATAGTACATGTAAGCCAGACTTTTTCATATAACAAAACGTCGCTACGTTAACCCTATCTATACACACTGGGGTCGCTTTTGTACCCCCGGGGTTGTATTCTTCGCATTTTAGAATATTCTAGTACGAAGATCTCTTTGAAACGTTCAGTATTTCTCAAAAAATCCTTTTGACCCTGCTATGCAAAGCGTACTGATCGGATTAACGAGTAAATGTCCTCTTTGGAAAGTTGTGGCATAGAGTTCCCCCACGTCCTATGGATACGATAGTAAAACACGTCGACGTAAGGATAGGGTTAAAATGACAAAACTATCTGCTCAGCACAGAGACCCTAGAATAATTACAAAGTTCTGTCTGCCCATAACCTAATTGTGAGAAATTTGACGGTAAAAAACTGTGAGGCAGCGTTGTGGAATCAGGCTCTCGTCAAAATAATCAAAGTGAAGAAACTTGCTTTTTTCCACAGGATTTTGAATTTTTATCAAATTTTTGTTTTTTACCCAAACACCTTTCATGCTCATTAAAGAACTGATTTCTGAATGTATTTTTCTGAAAAGCGTTGATTAAAGGAACAAAAATGTAAATTGTCAGTTACCACGGACTCTTAAGCTAAGGAAATAATTATATTTGGAGGCCATTTTCTCACAAATTTTACCTCTGAAAACAGATGACCCCCCACCTCCTTCATTCGTAAATATCTCGACTTGTATTCAAGATAAATGGACATTTTTTTCACCCAAATAAAGGGGTGGGGCAAATTTCAATTCTTTTTTGAGTTGAAAATAAGATAATCACCAGTAGTCTTTTCGAGTAACATTTTATTCCAAGTTGTCATACCGTATAAATTGACGCCCTCCCCCCTCCCCCCCACCCCCACCCCCACCCTTTTCCAATAGATAAATAAATAGATTGATTAAAATTAATTGATTACATTTTTTCAAAAAGTTTAATTACGTTTTTAAAATCATCCCCAGACATCGTGCTGGCTTTGCTGCTGTGTTTCCTCGACCTGGAAGTGCTGAGTATGTGTCCCTGCGCATGCGTCAAACTAGACAGCGGGTACGGCGGAAGTCTCGAGTTCCAACCCTTGGCAAAACCGGAAGCGCCCGCGCCGGAAGCAGAAGACAAGAGCAGTCACGTGTCCACCTTTGAGCTGGACCTCACGCCGCGGATTGGCCTTCAGGTCAAGAACCAGTACGGGGCCATACCAGAGAGGCCTTGAACCCCGACCCTTTACAGCACAGCTCGGGGTAAATCGTTGCCGTAAAGACCGTGGTGTTCGTTAAAATTTCATAATGTTCTAAAACGTTTTTTTTAAGAGGTAATTACGGCGTTAAATACAATAATCTTTGCTGTTCTGACAGCGGTGTTGTTCAAATGTTCATACTCTCTGAAACATGTCCCAGTCTTGAAAGGCTAACTGCGGCGAAAATTAATAAGTTTCGAATCTTTTTGAGTTGAGACTAAGGTAAAATATGATATACCCTATTAAACTTGATTCGCGTTTAAACCTTTTTGAGGAACTAGAGGCCTATAACAACACTTTAAAAATAAGAATTTGATAAGAGTTAAGGTAGAAAAAAAAACGAAACTCCCCACCGTAATTATTTGATATAGACATGTGGTTTCTTAGAAGAATGTTGAGAATTTCATTGACGGAAAAGAAAACAAATAAGATAATGCTGAAAGAATCTCTTTGCACCTTGTAATAAATTGCGAAAAAAAAGAAAGATGAAGACGTGACAATAAAAGAAATTTTCGGAGCACTTGAACCGGCATAAAGGATTTGAACATCCTGCTCTCCCTAGAAAAACTGAAAGCAAAAGTGGAAGAGGTAGACCAAAAACAGCTGACTCGTAGAAACTTGAACAGCTATAAAATAGGAAAAGATCAGGACAATGCTCAGTTCTTGTTGTTGTCGTTGTTGCCGCTGTCGTCGTCGTTGTTTTTGTTGTTGTTATTATTTTAGAACACTAGAGCTCAGAAATAAGTGACGAAGCATGATCGATATTTGTCTCTGATCTGGCTTTTACAGAGGACGAAAAAGATGTGAGATTTATTGTCGGTAAAAATAATGTTATGTACTGTTGGGTCTTATTCTTAATTATACGTTTGCATGCAAATTAGATATACAGTTTGAGAATGATCCTTATGTGCATGTAGTTAGTTAGAACTTTTTCAAAAGTTCAGTACCTGCCCACCCTTGCACTACTCCACTCCACCCCACCCCCCTCTGTTCCCAAGCTCAAACACGTTCTCCTGTGAAATTCTTCGACTCGTATTCCTTTTCTAGGCGCCATGTTAATGCACGTATAAGAAAAATGTTGACAGTGAAAGCATAATAAGTTAGTTAACACAATTATATTTCAAAGCTACGTGTAAGAAAAAAGCAAATCTGTTGGGACATTGTGTCCCTCTCATCCATGACTGGCCCTGAAAGGCATGGTCGAACCCTCCTTCCTAAATGATTTGAATTTGGTGGAAAGGGGCGTAAAAAGCACCTAATAGGCCTACTTACGTTTTAGTTCTCTTTGAATTCCAAACAAACAAAACTAGAATATACCATTATTACTGTTTAGATTTAACTATTACATTGTAAATCTGGGAATTTACTTATTTTCTTGAATGTCCTGTTATATAAAACCTGGTCCATTTTTCCCTCTCACCCCCACACGTCTAGTCCTGCTATCCCCCATCCCCCCTCCCCATTCCTCTCATTTATTATGTGATAACGCGTATAATTTTGCCTAATTTGGTTGGGTTTTTTTAAAACTAAATTATAACTGAAAAGTTGTACAATTCTTCAGTCCTTTAAAATTTGGCTGGAATATTTGTGTCCCTCTGATCTGGAATATTTGTGCAGTGCTTTACTTGTGTCTGTCGAACGTGGGGATGTAAGCTTATAAAGTTTCCAGTTTAAACTTGCAAAGTGATTAATTTCAAGTTGAAAACGTAGGCAATCTATTTATTCTTACCTAAACCTATTTTACACTCAGTAAATTATGATATTGAAGTAAACCTGTAAGATCTATGTAAATAGAGATTGGATTTTGTTTCGTGCAATATTCTTGAATTTTAATTAAACGAATTCTTTTCTCATGTTCATCGTTATGTCAACTGCCGACTGTCAGTGCTTAACTTTGTTCTTAATGCGTAAATGTTGGTGATTGTAAGATTTTAAAAAAATCCAAAACTTGTAAAATAAAATTTTCTTTGATCTAAATGCACTAAGACTTGTCGTTACTTCTGTGTCGAGAAAAAAAAATCCTTAGGCCAAGCCTTTTACTATCGAATTCTGACTCTCTTTTTCTCTGTATATTGTCACCCTAAGTCTCCCTTCTCTCTCTCTCTCTCTCTCTCTCTCTCTCTCTCTCTCTCTCTCTCTCTCTCTCTCTCTCTCTCTCTCTCTCTCTCTCTTCCTCTTTCTTTCTTTCCCGTTCCTCACCCCTACCTTCTTTCTTACCATTAGAACCACTTGGACACACGGGTTAGCATCATTTCAACAAATGGATGCTCCCACTTCGGCAAATGAGTCAGGGAAGAGAGTTAAGAGTCTGAATTCGGACAATGTTTCATTGATAATTATCCGGTTATCCGGATAGATTATCCGGTTTTTTCCCACCTCTACCCATCAGCTCGGAGTCCCCTGCCAACTAACTAGAGCTGGGCGAAGAGTCGATTCCGGAACCGATTCCCACGATTAATACTAGGGAAGTAAAGTTCCGGCTCCTTTTTACGTAAACCAACGGTTAGCAGTTACTTTTATCATTAAAATCTTCTTTTTTTTAAAAAAAGAATATATTTTTCGAAAAAAAGAAATTGATGCTTCGTAGTGTTCCGAAATCAAGGTTATCCTAAATTCTGAAGATGTTCGGAGCCAACCAGGTCACCACCGGAAAAAATCACCTCATCAGACCGGAAGTAATTGGGTTCGGAGTCCGATTCCTACGGTTCCTAGCATTTAATACATGTGATCGGAAACCTAGCCGCCCAGCACTAAATCTACCCTTCAGCTCGGAGTCCCCTGCCAACTTCTGGAAACGACAGAGCCGCCACGTCAACACTATACATCGCTCACTGAAATCACTCACATACGTGACATTTATTGCGACCACTTATAGACATTTATATAACGGCAATTGCTCTCATTTACCGCCATCAGTCCCACACACGGGTTTGACAATTACTCGAGCACTTTGGCACAAACCTAAGTTGAAACTATAGGCATATTATTCAAAAACAATCCTTGAGGGAGGGAAAGTGTGGTAAACTTTCCATGTTATATTGGAGGCCGAATCGAACACAAAAAACAACCCCAAACCAAATTTGGGTTGGGGGTTTTTTGGTGGTTTTTTTTTTTTTTTTTGGGGGGGG